TCCTTTAAAAAAAAAAAAAAATATATATATATATATATCTGATTTTGGTCATGTGTATTGACAGAGAGACCCCCAGAAAGAGATTGCTTTGGAGTTTCTGTATTGAGGACCCCCAAGTCTGGTGAGAAGCAGTGAGTCCTCATTTCTCTTTAATGTGCTCAGACCATAGGGGGGGGGGGGGAAGACCACACAGCTGAGTCTAAATGGAAGGGGGAGGGGCACTCTGCTGCTGTCAATCAGTTGGGAGATCCTGGGAAGGGTGACCCAGCTGCCCTCTCCTGGCTGAGATCCCTGCTCCTGAGAGGTGCAGGGTTCATGCCTGCCTGCAGGTGCCCAGAAGGTAGATGAGCACACAGCCAACCCAGGTGCTCTGCCTACTGTCCTCAGTGCCAATGAGCTGCACACAGTACAACAGGCAGAATCGCTGCCCTCTGCAGTGTGAGCCAAGTTCACGAGAGTGAAATTGCCCRTCTGTGGTGGAGTCCTGTTGAGACTTGAGAAATAAGTTTTTGTTTGCTGATGCTTCAAAACATGGCTGCCTCCGGGCACAGGGCACTCTTCCAGAGTGTGAGCTCTCAGGACATCCAAGCCCCAATGGCAAATGCCCAGGAACACCTCGTAGATCCAGCCTTGAGCTCAGCGCTCTCAAACTGCATGGGCCAAAGCCCRGTTTTGTGTTTGTCTGATTACCAGTCTGTCATGGACTACTAAAAAATGTAACAAAATTTAATTGTACTGGAAATTTGAAAACACAGAAAAACACAAAATGCAAGCCCAAGTTTTTACTAGATTCAAAAGTTTCTAAGTGTGTCTTCATTTCTGTACTWACCTCATGTGGAGCACATCTCCAACTGCTCTGGCTACCAGCTCATTACAACAGCTGTGGGGAGAGCCCTGGGCTATGTTTTGAAGTGTTTGTATTTTTTTTTTAATTCTTACTTAAAATACTTCATTTCTCTTAAATTAAGTCAAAACCATCATTTTGACGTGTAAAGGTGTCCACCACGTGGTCCTACCTGCCATGCTTTCATTCACTCACTCATTCTTTCAGCTGATCATGCAAGCCACCATTACTGAGTGCCTACTACACAACAAGATCACACCAGGTGCAAGGTAACAGCTGAGGCACTGTATAGTGCTCACCCCATAAAAATCTCCACCTAAAGCAAACCATCRTTCAAACATGTGCGTGACTTTTAGACTCTACAGCCTTCTCACTGCACGTCGGAGCCCCAGGAACTTCTCATGGCTACATGAATCTGTTTTTCTGTACTATATCCAAGTATCTGAGGCAGGGTAACTTTACAAAGAGGTTTATTAGCTCAGTTTTAGAGGCTAAAGGGCCTCTGGGGAGGGCCTAACAGCATCATGGCTGGAGCACATATTATAAAACAGGAAGCCTGAGAGGGAGTCAGGGTCAGGCTCACTCTGTTGCTCCCTTGGAGCTCAGGGTCCCTACATTAGGGCTCTCTGCAGGAACAGAATCAACAGTTGCTATGATTATAAAAAGAGGACTTATTAGGTTGGCTTATTTGACCAGAAGCTGCATAGTCCACAGTGGCCATCTGCAGGCTGGACAGCTGGAGGAACCAGTAGCTATGCAGCCCAAGAGGCTGAAGCCCCAGAACAAGAAGGATGGACAGTGCTACCCGAGTCCGAGACCAAAGGCTTCTGGAAACTCCCTGGAGAATCACTGGCAGAGTCTGCTGTAGAAGAGTGAAGGAATGAGAGTCTGATGTCCTCAGGTGATCGCAGCAGCAATCAAGAACTGGTTCAAGAGAACTGAGCTTGCATCTGCAGCTGCTTCCTTGTTCTTCCAACTGTCATTCCATCCAAGCCACCATCCTATTGGATGGTGCTGCCCACACTTAGGGAGGGTCTCCACTTCAGTCCACTATCCCACATGCCAATCATTCCTAGACACACCTTCACTGACAGACCCAGAAGCCTCTTAATCATCAGCATCTCTTAATCCAATCAAGGTGACTATTCAAACTGACCTTTAGAGCCCCAAAGAGGTACCTTCACCCCTTCTGAGGATGGCGCTCCCAGTGATGTATGGGACMCCCAWTAGGCCCCACTTCTTAAAGGATCCTTCACCTCACATTTCCTCATAGAGGACCAAGTCTCCAACATGTGAACCTTGGGGAATACACTCATACCAGAGCARTGGATCTGTTCAAATGTCAGCTAGCCCCTATGATAATAGCTGTCATCAATCCGTCTCCTGCCATGTTCTAGATATTGTGACAGGACCATATCAGTGTTCCTAATTTCCCAGCAACCCCACAGGACTTGGCCATCCCTTTGCCACTGAACAACCTGGTTCCCTAGAAAGTTTTCTGATTCCACGATTAGACACAACCTTTTTACTTCTAAAGTCAATCTTTGCACCTCTTCTTAAAACCTTTTAATTGAATAAATGATTTAATTGAATACGTTTTTAGAAAAGTTACTATTTGCAGAGCTCTATGAATATTCAGAAACTCAACACGACCATGTACCTGTTCCTAGATCTCAAGAGAACCTAACACCCTAAACACCTCCTCTGACACTTCCTGTCACTCCCCTCCCCTAAGAGCAGCCACTACCCTGGCTTCCAGCTGTAAAGCTGAGTCTTGTTACTGGCTTTGTTCACTCTCACTGCAGCATCGTACTCCAGCCTGAGTGTATYGTTTATTCATTCGTTGTCCTCTAGGTGGATGGTTGGGTGGTCTCCAGTGCTGCTATAAACATTSTATCGTATGTCTGCCGGTGAACTTGGGCACGCATTTCTGCTGCATAATAGCTGGCAATAGGAACCAATGCAGTACTGGGTTTTAGGGTTAGTAGATGGTAACTACTTTTAATATTCTGCACTATTTTAATCTCATTTGTGAATTTATTCATCTGCTCTACTAAACTATAAATGGCTTTTTGATCAAATACATATTACCTATGCTCTCCCTCATCTTAAAATGAGGGATCTAAAACATAAGACAGAAAACTGAAGTGAGAAAAGAGGAAGGAAACTGATAGGATAAAGAGAAGGATGAATTGAACACAATGGCCAAATATACTTCACAGAGCTGTAGCTACTATTAAAGCTGGACCACAAGTGAGGTTGTGCTTCCCATCAGCCAGTGCAGAGAGGGAATCAAGTTACATAATTCAATGTTCACAGGATTAAAGTACCAAGTGGGATTTTAAAAAGTCAATCTAAGTCTTCTAGGCATTGAAAAGGAAAGGCCCAAACTTTATTTCAAAAGTAACAATAAGAAATGTCAGTTTCTCCCCTCCTGTTGTAACCTCCCCCAATATGGACATACTAAAACCCTAAGATACAAGGTGTTGGGGAAAACTGGACTCCAAAGTATGGTCCAGGGACCTCTGAGAGTCTCTGGAACCTTTTCAGAGCATCTGCATGGCCAAGACCATCTTCTTGGTACTGAGAAAGGTTTTGATCTTTTTTGCTCTCATCCCCTTAGGAGAGCAGAGTATTCTAGAGACCACTTGGTGATACTGCAACAGATAGGTACAGAAGCAGATGTGGGAACTCRGCTGTCTTGTTAGACAGATGTTTAAGAGGTTTGCAAATTCTGTCTTAAGAAAATTTTCAAGCAAAAATATGCCCTAATGGGTTATTATATTTTTTTAATGATAGAATTTTTCAAAATTAATTTCTAATATAGTAAATATCTATAGACATAACAATTCACATAAATAATCACTTTAGAGTTCCTGAAAACTTAAGAATGAAAAGGTGTCCCAAGGCTAAAAAGCTGAAGAAATGCYAGTTTGATGGAAGATTTCCCCAAAGGACATTGCTTGTCAAAAATCCCAGAAGGTAAAGTGGAAAATGGTCTGTGATCCAATATATTTGGGAAATATTATGCCTCTCCTGGAAAACAAGTTAGAAGCCAATAAACCTAACCAGTGTTATAATTCTGTTTCCTGAATGGTCTTGACTAAGACACCTCTCAAGTGCTTCTATTATTATCCTCAGGGTGCACTTGGGAACTCACAGATGACTGGCAAGGCCCTCAGTCAATCCTCATGAACAGCATCTCTTACAACTCAGCTTCTGTCAAGTGTGGATAACAGTCTGAAGTTACACGTCTGACAGCAGGAAGAGTGATTCTGTTACCAACATCAAAACGACTGGGCAGGACACACAGCTCCTTTATTTCTGCAAAGAGGTAGATTAAGGGCAGAGACAGGCCAGGACAAAGATCCCACTCAGGAAACCAATCTAGGTCTATTTCCTCAAAGACAGTCAATCAAGGCCCCACAGCTCTCCTCTGCAGAAGTCACAGTCATGTTAGCTTAGACATCTTTCAAAGCAGATGGTACCAGGCACTTGCCTTAGTCACAACAAAAATCTCAAGCATCTGCAGAAGTTTGGCTTTAAGTTCTGTAACTTCTTGGTGACCCCTCCAAGGAAAACAGAGCAAATGTACCCTTAATTAGTCAACTTCCTCTATTGAGTTGTTAACTGCAAGTCAATTAAGTGTTGGGGAATGCTTACCAAAAATGATGATTTTGGTTTTGGACATATCAATCTTATTTCTTTTTGACAATAATTACATAATTGGGCCAGTTGTCTGTTAAGAAAATGCTAAGTTCACAATCATAAAATTAACCTCGTCAAGAATCTCCTCTGAGGAGAGCCTACAATAATATGCAAGGCACCACGACTCTTCAGAAGCATGCAATCTCATAAGAGGCTACGAGGGCACAAGGACRGGACACTAAAAGTAAAAGGAAAGAAGGAAAGGAACGGAAGGAGGGAAGTGCAGAAAGAAGGAAAAAGAATCAATTCTCRCTTTCATTACTGCAGCACCTGGGAAGGTACCTGCAGAGAATTCAATGTTTGTCTCAACAAATGTGCTATTTACCTTTAAAATGTTCACTTATAATGCAAACAAACAGGTGAACACTTCACAAATGTCTAATCAAACAGTACTTCTTGGTGTATAATTTAGTTTACAAAAAGATTTATGAAAAAAAATACACCATTGCAAAGTAAAAATAAATCATTTTAATAGACACATTTTCACCTCTGTTAATTCACCACTGATTTCTTCTACACATGCGCACTGGTCTAGTTTGACTCACTTTGTATTTATTTCTTTTCTAACATGGAATAATCTTTTAACAAGAGATGGTTGAGATGAATGGGGTATTTTTAAAATGCACAAAGTACCTTGCCCTCAAAGAGCTTTATCAACTTGACCATTTTCAAGGAAGTTCAAATCTCTCATTTGGAGGGGCAAAGAGGCGTGGACCTCCTTAAGCCCACAGGTTCTATGAATTCGTAGCATAGCTCGGCTAGTGATGAAGACTCAGTGACGAGCAAATCTCCTGCGAATGGCCTTGCAAGAGTGCAACAAAGTCAGCCGAGTCATGAAAACCTTCCTAATGGTGTAGTGTATTCCAGGATTCTTCTGATTCTTGAGGGAATGTCAGTCCTTGTGCACGGTCTTTATTACAGGCCTCTTACCGACAGCTTTCACTTTCTCCTCCAGCCATCTCTCTAGTGAGGTGGTTTACTCTATCAATGCTGAGTCAAAAGCATGCAGATGTCTCATTCCACAATCGAAGCTGGTGGTGGCCTTCTCATTTCCTGCYGAAGGGATCAGACCACACCTTCAACCCTATAGGAAGAAACAAGATATACTATAAATGTCCCAGCACCCCTCAAATCCAAACCAACAAAACGACATCCATGGCACTGAGTAGTGCGACTCCCATGGGGTCTGAGAGCGAGAGCCAGTTGCTGGAACCCAGGAGTGAAATGACTGGGAAGCCACCCAGTCACCCGGCAGCCACAAGGGGCATCAAAACAGCTCAGAAATCGCCCCATAACAGGAAGATACAGATCTGGCCTAGTTAAAAAATAAATAAAGAATGTTGCCACAGATTATGAGAGTTTTGGTTAATAAGCAGGAAACCTCTCATTCTCAGCCAACTTGGATCATCTTAAAGGACTGACCTACTCAGCCATGAAGGGAGCTTTTTTGGGCTTTTGCATAAAGCCCAATCCCACATCAATTAAAATAGCTCACAAGTAAATGCGATTTTCCTGTGAGGGCAGGGTTTAAATAGGTACTTGGTAAATACTTCTGCAAAACAGCTACTCATGCTTCCTGTTTAACTGTATACTTGTAACATTCTTACGCTTATTTATCAGATGCAACAGAGGAACCCGCAAACTTGCAATAAGTATTCTGCAGTGAAATCTGAAAATGAAGTCTTAGATAATGGCTATGAAAAAAATGGCAACTATTATGAAATAAGTAGCAAAATCACAATCTAGTTTCTACACCTTCTCGCCCCTCCATGGCAAAGCCCACACAAACCACACAGCACAAGGGGGACAAGTTTACCTGGTGGCTGCACATCTTCTTGAACAATACCAGCCCGATTTATGGCCTGTTCCTTCTCTGAGAAACACAACAGAACAATTACTCTTCAGGAGGAGGAGAGGGAGAAATCTTTGTATTTATATCAGCCTATGACATGGGACAATTAGCAACAATATTTATGTGATATTAAATTCAGAGATTCGGCTACTCAAGGCTTTTAGGTTGTGGAAGTAAGATCCTATAACGCAAAAAGATGGGGTATTTTCAATTTAAAAAAAAAAAAAAAAAGCAAGCTCCCAACTTCAAAAGAAAAGCTCCCAACTAACATCTTTTTCCTGTGATCTCAGCATTTTGGAAAGGCAACAAAACAACAGAAAAAGAACAATTTTGAAAGAACTGGTGGGCGTGATATTATAAGCGGAAGGCTGCTGAAATGAAGGAACAAGTACAATTAACAAGAAAACGATGTCGTTTGTATGTCTAAAACGCACTCCACTGAAGGACTAGACGCAGAGCTAAATATGCTATGTTTTTGATAGGAAATAGAGCAGAAAATTAATCTTTGGGTGGGTGGCTTTGGTTTGGATAATTGAAGCTTCCCTAATTGATTGCAGGTGCTGTGCCAATTAGCAAGCGCGTTGTAGCTAGGCGGCGAAGCCGATCTCTTTGGAGATGTCCAACAGGCCAGGGCCAAGAGAAATTGGGCATTTTACGACTGTGGGCTTCAAGAGCTCTGACACATCTTTCTAAGTGGTTGAGAATAAACCCGAGGACTGTGACAACAAAAGACTTATTATTTTAAGTATCTTGACAAACAAATGGGAGCTTTTTAGAAGAAAGACTCGGGGAGCCAAAGAATGTTTACTACTAAATTATAGTAATTAAATGTTGTAATCAGACCTCTGTTTTAATCAGACAGACAAGCGTTTCTTTAGTCCACATTTAGCTCTTATTTAATATTAGGCTATTTTCTTTATTTTGGCCTCTGGATTCTCATAAAGTTACACAAGCATAAAGGTACAAGAARCAGGGTTTTCCCTGGTCTTAAGATTCACTGAACTTGCTTCTAAGTGATGTGACAGAAAGCCAATCCTAAATGACCAGATAGTTTTATCAGCGCTAAGTATTGCTTTGGCAAATAAAACACTGGGCAATGGAGCTGATGGGGATCTTGGTATCCAGTTCTAAGAAGGACAGGGAGAAGACGCCAATTAGAGACAATGGCCTGGTTGCCTTCCCACCTCTCTGAAAGCAGCAGGTGGCTAACCAAGACCCTCTGAACCTAGATATGCCAAGAGACTTTTTCCGACACAAGTGGGTGATAAGGGGCCTCTAAGGTGTTAGGCTTTCTGAGATAACACAAAAGGTGTTCTCATTGCCTAGATGGTAACCCTTGTAGGACTGAGCCCGACCACAATGTCCATATGTAAGTCTCAAAGTATGCATGTCCCAAACATGCTCGGGAAAATGCCAACTCATAAAAGATCACACACACTGTCATCAGTCTTGCCAGGAACAAAACCCGATAATTTTCTAGATCTAAAAGGCCTATTCTCTGATATAATGAAAGAGGGCAGAGATGCCTTTTGAAAGATAATTGTCAGAAGGTATTTGAGATGTACAAATTTAAGACAAGCAGTCACCCTGGTATACCGAAACATTCTTTAGCAGGTATTTCGACGCCAAACACGCTGGCAGACTGCCAAGCATGRGAGGAAGCCAACTTCGGGTGGCAGGGACAGAATACCTAATTGTGTTCTAACCTCTTATGATGCAATGGAGAATCAAGTGAAGAGAAAGGAATCCCTGTCTCCACACTTTCTTGCTAACTGCTAATGAGGCTGGAAAGAGGCTGAGGATTTGTTTTAAATAGACCATAATCTCTTTCTAATCCTTGTCCTAATGCAGACACCTCTGCAGTCTGGCCTGGACAGGCATTTCAACCAGTCCCTACCAAGCAATACCTAGGTATTAGCATCCTATCTACATCCRCTGGTTCTTTAATCCATTAATGTTTTATAAATACTCTGAGGCCAAAGCAGTCTTATGTAAATTCATGATTCCACACAAAGACACCTTATTTGTGAATGCAGAATATGCTAAAAGGAAGACAGAAACTCAAACTCGTTCTCTCAGGATTTAGCCAGTACAACTTGATGAGGTGGACAGATTTCTATTATCACTGGAGAAATCGCAAATTTATAAAAACCACAGGAAAAGGGCAATGGTGAAAGCCAGGGATTTAATGGCGTGGACAAATAAGCTAATTACTGACTTTAGTCATGAGCATGTTTCTATCCTGAGTGAAATGATTAAAAGCCAACTATGGGACTCTGGGTTGGAAAATCCCCCACTCTGGTGTCTCAGCAAGCCCGACTCTGCCCCCTGGTGCTAAGGCAGTGGTTTGATTTGTAGTTTTAATTGAGAATCCTTATCTCTAGTCAAAGGGCCAAGCCCTATTATTAAAGTTGTTTACACAWGCAGGTGGCTGATTTCATACAGTAGTAAGAGAATCCACCTAATAATTCTAAGTCTTTGAAAATGAAAACATATCCTTATATTAAATGTCCATATTAGAAAATAAATCTAGTGTGTGACTTGTTACTGTATTTAACGTTGACAGTCCTACAAACAAATGCAATATATTTAAGGGCCAGTTCCCTCAGCAACCTGGGAGCTAATAGCTAGGGGTGCTCTAAGGGAAGAGTAGTGGGAAGAGATTAAAATTAAAAAGCAGACAGAAACAGGTACAAAATAGGACCTTGGCAATCTCTCTCCCCCCATCTTTTCCTGCCAATTATGAGTTGAAATAAAGCAACTCATAACGTGACATCAAGGGAAAAAATGCTAAATTTGTATATGGATATGCATTAGACGCTAACATTGTTATCAATATTGAATTTCCTGGATTGGATGACTACTGTGATTAGGTAAGAGAAGGTCCCTGTTCTTAGAAAGGCTAAAGTGTTTAGGAACAAAAGCTCACACTGTCTTCAATTTTGTCTCACAGAGTTAAGCAAAATAGTAGCAGTAATTGTAATATATACGTAACTATAACTGTGTGTGTAAATACCTGTATGCGTGTGTGTATTACCTACAGGGGAGAAAGCAAATGCAGCAAATGTTAACCACTGGTGAGCCTCGGTGAAGGACAGAGGAACCTACTGTACTATTCTTGGATCTTTTCTGTCAGTTTGGGTTTTTCTTATTAGGAAAAAAAAAGCAAGAGTAAAACACACATATAATAAAGCCCAACAACAGTGTGACTGTTCCATGTTGATTAATTCAAAGTAATCCTTTAAAAAGACAAATTTTTAGAAAAGATACTTTGTGTTCCCATTCTGCTGCRGTGTCTGGCACACACCCTGCTGCGGGGGAGTCCAGAACTGGAAGCAAGCGTGACCTGAAGCCAAGGGGAACCAAGTGGCCCTAACAGTAGGTGTGAACCACAGGCCAGGGACACACCACACCACAACAGCAGCAAATGAGAACAGAGGCTAACAGGACCCAAATGGCAGTACTAGCAAGTGTGAACCAGAGGCCAAGAGCCCAGATGGCCGCAAGAGCACCTGTGAGCCAGAGGCTGAGAAGAATCCACCCGCCACCATAGCTGTGTGAACTAGCTGGGTGAAGGGAGCCAAAGGGCCACCTGAATTACCGGCTCCTTCTACACTGTGAACTATGGGAGGGGGGGGTGCTTCGCAACACCAGCGAGAATCCAAGGCTGGAGTCTGTGTCGGCTGGTTATAAGGTAGGAGGAATGAAGAACACTTTCTAAGCCCTAGCATGTGATGGGAAATGCCCTTGCAAGGCAAGAAGATTTCCACATCAATGGATTTCCTGCACCTTGTTCTGAAACAGGGCAGCAGGGTACAACCTGAGAATGGAACTGACTCTGGAACATTTTTCATTGTCTCAAAGACACTGTGACAAGGCATTAGCAGACAAGGGTGGGGGAGTTGGGGTCTGGTGTCCACTCAGCAATTAACATGCTGGGTGACCTTGAATGAGTCACCTAAATGAAGGAATAGATGAGTTAAAGCTTCTTCTGGCAAAAAAAAAAAAAAAAAAAAAAAAACCACCAACCCTGATTTTATGCTTATGCACATCTAATTAAGATTAAAAATGAACATGGTCATGAAAATGATTTTTCATTCTCAGTTTACCAGCTGGTCTCAATGCCTAAAATGCATGTTCTTTCTAAAAGGCCATGTTCAGAATCACCGCCTGGTTCTAGAATTCAAACAAATTAGGCTTCTAGTTCCAGCCATCTGCACCCTTCCCTAAAAGTGCTCTTTAGACAAACCACGCTATGCAACAGGATGAAAGCTGAAAGCAAAGTCCAGGGCTCCTGCCAGAGAACAGCAAGACTGGAACSACACTTCTGGTTTGGGATCACTGACCCCCAAGGCCAACTGCYACCTCCCCAGTGCTCACCGCAGTACTTGAGTATCACCTACAGAACTGACCATGTTCTTCATGCAACACTGGGCAAAGTCTTGCTGAGTTAATGAAAGAGCTGCGGATGACACTGAACGTCAACATGAAGTCCTGTAAGGCACGCTGTGACAGTGGCAGCTGATTAGCAAACACGGAAAAGCTCCTTGGCTTTACTTTACCCAAGTACTCTTTTGCCTCTTTTCTGCTTATTCCAGCAGTGACCTTGGAACGTTCCTGTCCCCATGCTCCCCATACCCCAACTGGCCCCACCAAAGGATCCAAAGTGACCTGATGTTCCAGCTCATGGCTGGGGCTTGTTCTCTGCAAGCTCTGGCTTCAAATCCTGTTTTTCACTAGTAATCCAGTTTTCAGGTACTGGGCTCCTGCCCTGACCTTCCAAGAACTGTGGCCTTCTCCTMATATGCCCCAACCCTGAGGAACAGAGGGAGCTAGTAGAAGAGGTGGCCAAGACAGTTCTGTGCATGAGATTAGGAGTTCATACCGAGGACTGTCTCTGTCCAGAACCTTCCCTGACCCACTCTCCTGGCTCCCCATCCCTCCCAGCAACAGTRGAGGTAAAACCATTCTCCCTAGATCAAGGTACCTTTCACATTTGGGGCTAGGTAATCCTTTGCCACAGGGGACTGTCCTGTGCACTGCAGAAAGGTATTCTGGCTTCTATCCAGTAGATACCTGTAGTACACTCCCCCACTCCTCCCCTAGTTGTGAGGACCAAGAAAACGTCCTCGGGGACAAAATCATTCCCAGTTGGAAACCACTTTGTGGTTTTTTTTTTTTTTTTTTTTTGGAACTGGGGACTGAACCCAGGGGCATTTAACCACTGAGGCACATCCCCAGCCTTTTTTTCATATATTATTTAGAGACAGGGTTTCACTGAGTTGCTTAGGGCAACTTTAGTTGCTAAGATGCTGAGGCTGGCTTTGAACTAGCGATCCTCCTACCTCAGCCTCCCAAGCTGCTGGGATTACAGGTGTGCACCATGATGCTGGCTCTGAAACTTTCTAATGGGASCAAAGCAGACGCTTTGTCCCAAGTTCAATTCTACAGGATGTAAATAAACGGAAGCAGATTATGCAGACCCATATTTACCCCCAGTCAGGGGCATGCAGACAGGCTGGAAAGCAGAACCTACAGAGGCCACTTCAGACCTGGCCAATGAAAGCAGCTACAAGGAAACTCGAGTGTGTACTAAATGCTCTGCCTCCAGAAATCAAATGCTGTAGCATCTGTAATGGGCCGAACATTTACATGGAGCTTTTGCCTTCAAATCACCAAGCTTTCAGCCTCCACTAATATTCTCCAGGGGCAGGGCTGGCCCTCTTCCATCTTCAAGATGATTCAGGTTTCCTGGAGAACAAAATGAGCCTCTAATGCTTAATATTTTCTCTCTGACAGATGGTTTCAGATGTATCAAAGTGCTAATCCTTGCTGAGGTATAGGTCTCAAGGAAGGAGAGTTTGGCTTTTAGAATGATAGGACTTGAATGATTAAGGAGGAAAATTACTCCCAGGATATTCACCATTGTCATGTGAGCAACCAGCTTAAAATGAAGGAAACCAGCGCAATCTGAAAAACGATTTGAGGGAAAAAAAGAGGAAAAAAAAAAACCTAAAAAACCAGGTTAGCAGGTTTAGGTTTGAAATATTTCCACTCAAAAACATCTTTGGGAATGGAAATGAAGGGCAATAACAACACCTTTCAGCTCAGGATGAGGGGAGTTCCATCTGTCTCCCTGCTATATCACCATTCCCAGCCTGGGTGTATGGAAGAGGTTGTAACAGAAGCCTGGGTTAGAATATCTGCCTTGCCACWTACTGTGTGAYCTTGGGCAAGTTATACAACCTCTCTGGGCCTCAGTCTCCCCATCTGTAAAATGGGCGATAACTTCTACCTCAAGGGAGGTTGTACAAATGAAATGATCCAACCTACACCTAATCTGACATAGCATATTAAACCTTGTGTTAACTATGAATGTGAATTAACATTAGGTTRACCTACTATGTGCAGACTGATTTCATATATCTCATCACCTCTGAAGCTCCCAGAAGCTTACTACTGATGGTGCAGAGACACTACAGAAGAGAAGGCTGAGGGTCTGAGAGGTTGAACCACTCGGTCGCAGTCACAAAGCYGCATGCTGCGGGGTTCGAACCTGGCTCTGTCCGACTCAGCCCAGCTCTTTCCAAGACACCACGTGGAACCGACTGGTCGGGTCGGGGTGCAGGGGGTAGTGACTGGGGCCAGAGGTCACTCACGGTACTCCTCCAGCCTCATTAGGGGCCGGAAGTAGATGGGGTAGAAAGCGGCGCCGACCAGGGAGACGAAACCGCCGAAAATGAGCGCGGTGCGCAGGTTCCGGGACATGCTGCCCGGCGGGGTCTGCCCTGACCCGCGAGGGCACCCTCACCCTCGGAAGCCTCGCTCTGCCCGCCCAGGCCGCGACCCGGCTCGGAAGAGGCGGAGCGGCTTTCGCTTCCGGGCCTTGGGGCGGGGCGCGGGGTGGAGGCGGAGCTGGGGAGGGGCGGGGTCGGGGCGGGGTGGAGCCGGGGCGGGGCCTCGGGTGGGCGGGGACAGGGCGGGGCCTCGGGCCTGCCGCCGCCCTCCCTTCTTTGCCCGACTGCTCCTGGCGCGGGCCGAGCGCGAGAGCTGTGTTGCTGCCAGGGCTCTTGTTGAGCTTTATCCCCCGCGGAATCTCACCGGCCCTCTTCCCTGCCGGGGACCGGGCTCCGCTTTCCACCGCTCCACTCACCACCTGCAAACCTCACTCCCTCCACTACCAACCACGCCCTCTTGTCCTTCCCCACTTGTCTGTCATTTAGTGGACGTCTCCCACGAGCTGGACCATCTCTACAGCTCTCTGGTTTAATCCTCAAATCAGCAGGCTCAGTTTACCGGTGAGGGGACTATGGCTGCATGCACAGCTTCAGACAAGTCCCTGGGCTTCCCTGGGGGTCCCCTGCTCTCCCTGTTCCCTGTACTGAGATATCAGGATTCCTGAGGACGATAGGAGATAAATGGGGATCTGAAAAGGGTAGAGAGCCAGCAGCCAGTCCTAAGGMTGAGACCATGGGGCTCTGGCTCATTGCCTTAGGTGGGGTCCACTGAGGACAGACTTCTGCTTCCTCTTCTGTGATTGCCATCCTCTGCACCTGTGCCCCTTTCAGATGGGCTGTATCTGAACACCACCTGCCCAAGGGGCCTTCGCCCAATCCTTTGTAGATAGACATGATGCCAGCAGCTGGGGCTGGAAAGCACAGGGGATATTTATCTTGACCCCATTATTTAGTCCAGAAAAGTGAACTGAGCCTACTGATTCGAGGATTAAACCAGCGAGCTGAGAGATCGTCCAGCTCATGGTAGACTTCATCATCTTTCCGAAATGGTGTGGAGATCTATAGTTTCTTCTTTCTTTAAAGTTTGGTAGTTGAATCAAGCTACCATTTACCATTGTAGCTCTGGAAGCCTATAAATCAGCTGTTTGATTTGTTGGCAGATTTATGGACTATTTGCTATGCCCCAAACACCAGGCAAAGTGCCATGGGGGACACAAGATGAATAAGATGTGACCCCTGCTTTCCAGGATGCTGCCACAGAACATATACATGAAAAGATAAATAATGATCAACACAGCCCATTGCCGATGAGAGATACAGGCCTGCGGGCTACGGAGTGCAGACGGGGAAGACAGATGATTGTGTAGTGAGGTGGCTGCTCCTCAGGCACCTGCGCGAGCTTGTTGGATGCAGAGAAAAGACTTCGAAGCAAAGAGGAAAGCTGTGACACMTGCTTTACATCACATGACAGAAAACACCCAGGTGTAAGGGGCATTTGTCATTTTATCACCCAGGATCCACCTCCCGTTTTCCCAATAATAGTGCCCCAATATCTTTTGGGAAACCACTCCCCTCACACTCCTGGTCTGCTCCTCCCACCCCCACTGCCACCATCCTACTTCTTCCCAGCTCTGAAAGTTAAGTGCATTGCCAAGCCCAACCACTCTTCCTTGCCTGTGTGTAGGGAACAGACAGATGAGGATGGTGGGAACATTAGGTTAAGAGAATAATTTCATAAAATGGGCCCACTGTGCTGACCTCCACATGCTTTCTTTTCCAAGAAGCAATTTACCTGCAGCCCTGCCTGGACTCAGTGGACAGGAKATGTCACATTCCTCAGCAAATTACTTGTTATCTACAGGAGAAATGCAGGCCCAAAGTAATGTTGATAAGAGGAATCCAAGTTACCCTGAAGGAGACTTTTGTGACCAGATCCTGAAACTCTGGGAGAGAAGGATAGTTTCTCCTAACCACAAACATCTTTAAGAATGCATGGTTAAGAATCCAATTAGAACGATTCAGCATGGGACCAGGTGACCTAGAGTCGCTAGCTACAACAGTGGGGACTTGAAAGTCTGATGGCACTCTGCTGTCAGTCAAAAGTCAGGAGGTRGACCTGTTCAGGACTCTCTGGAAACTTCTCTGGGATCCCCAATGAAACTGGAGCACAGGAGAGGCACATTGACCCTCCTCTCTGAGAGGACCCACTCTTTCCCTTGAGTGTCCCCTTTCCCCTTTCCTGATCCCTTCAATAAACTCCTTCCTGTTATTCTGAGTGACATGTCTGAAATCTCTCTGACTTGATCCCAAGAATCAGAGTTTGAAGAGAGTTTTTGCTCTGCCTCAGTTTCTTGGGAGACCCCCAACTCCATAATACATGGATTGTTTGGCACAGGATGGAGGCCAATGCAGTTCATCTTCCTGGTCATACGACCCACATTAGCCAACCATACTCGATCCCAACTCTACTAGACAGCTGAACTTGACTTGAGGGCATGAGTCACAGTAGCTACAAGGGAATGAGGGCACAATTTAGGGACTAAGAATGAAATCGATACAACAGGAGAGCTGAGAGATGGACAGAAACCAGATGCTCATTTTGTACTTGAGCCAGCTGTACCTGAAACAGGCCACCCCTAGGCTGCTCAGATGAGCTGTCACATCCCCCTTTTATAGAAGCCAGTTGAAGTTGGGCTGTCTCTTTCCAAACAGAAGATGAAATATCCATGGATGTGGTTCCACTTGATTCACACTTCCATGAGAATTCAAGGCAAAGGTTGCTCTATTGTCTAGACCGAGTCACTGAGAGCCAGAGAATGGAACTCTTTCAGGGTTCGGAGATCAGGGATTCCTGATACCTCTGTGAGGAAGCTTGGCAGAGTAACCAACCAAGTGCCCCCCACCAACCAGTCAGAATGGAAGAGACCAGGATAATGGGACATTCTGATGACTACCTGGGAGGCTGAGACAGGACATTGTGGTAGATGAGCCACCCCCTCTCAAGGTAATGTGGCAAGTGACTAGTGGCCTCTCTGTCTCCATCATAATGACCTGAAAGCATTAACTGTCCAGCAAAAATGAGTACCCCCTCTATGTCATTAGAATCTATCATTAGCCTTATCACACCAGAACACCGTTACTTACCACTTGCCTGCCACCAGATCCCCAAACGCAGCTTCCTTTCTTTGATCCCAATGTGCACAGGTTTATTTAGAATATCACATTCCCCTGGTTTTCCATCACCTCCATCCTATCAATTCCATCAGCAAGTAGTTCTTGTGTGCCTTCTCGGGGCAGAGCACTGGAGTAGTTAGTTGATCTCTCACAAAGACAGCTCAGGAACATTCTTGAATTCTACAGTGGCTCCCTGAGCCCTATCCAGCGTGCCAGAGGCTCAGGTATTGGGGGAGGCAGCAAAGAAAGCAGCAGTGTCTGCTGTCCACGTGGCATCCCAGCCTGGTGGAGGGAGAAGATGTGGCAGCCTAGTGACTGCTGCTTGGCCCTCTGCCTCACCGGGTAGCAGTTCCTGGTGTATTTTGGAGAACGTCTCTTCAGGCTGGCCTTCATAGTTGGCCAGCAAATCCGGCACTGAGGGCACTGCTCATGCAGTAGAGTACTAGTGTCAGGACTTGCAGGATCCTTGCCCTGTACAGTCACTAGGATAATTGACTCCTTCAGAGCAGGAAGCTGGGGCATATCGAAAGTGGCTTGCAAAAGGTCACATGGCTTGTAAGTGGCAGCGTGAAGGTTCAAACCTGGTTGCAGAGACCAGTTCTTAACCACTTATCTAAACTACCTTGCACAGTCAGTGAGCCTGTGTTGTGGGGTATGGGCATGGCCCAACTAAGTCCTATTCATCTCTTTCTCCCAGAATTCAGACGACAGTGACCCAAAAATAGGTGGCATTGTTACAGCGAATTAATCCCATTGCTAACGTTCTGATGAGCTTGTTGCCCTCTCCTGCCTGCCTAGGCCCTTGGAACCTCTTTGGCAGGGTGATTCTCCAGTGATCATGATGCTCTGCAGGACTCCCGTGTGTTTCCAGTAAACTCTGTTTGAACTTAAGATGGTCAGAGCCAGTTTCTGTTTACGCCGCCAGGAGCCCTAACAGAGACAGAAATCAACACGATTACTTAGGACATATGGCACAGATGCTGGCTCGGGGCTTCTGAGCTGTGCTAATGTTTGGTAAAGCCAAAGGAAGTTTGGGTCTGGGGGAGGTACTTCTGGGTAGGGGGAGAGTTGGAGAGAAGATGTAAGTCAAATATGTCAGGCCCCCTAGGGTGCATATTTTCATCTCAATCACTGAAAAAAAAATTGGTTTGGGCTCCTGCCCAGCACTTTCTCCTTCTTCCCTTGGATGTGAAGATTGAATGCTTGCAGGGAGCAGACCGCCGGTGGTGTCTTGCAAGGGGTGCAGACAGACATCAAAGTTAATCCGCTCTCTGATCTAAGCAAAATGGTGACGAGGGTTTCCTGGGACAGCAGCTACACTAATTGTGGCACTGCAGCCCTGCAGATATATTTTTAGAATATTGTGGATTCCCAAGAAGAATCCTTCCTGGCTCTGGGAAAACAGCCTGGACGCTTCAGATACGAAACAGCAAGGTCTCATGCAAGACCCTCCAGGCCAGAGAATAAGAAATAGGGGAACCGCTTACCTGTTTTTATGGGGTGCTGTGGCTCCCTGAGTCTCTATTTATCTGTGAAAGTATTTCCAGTTTAGACCATTTGTCTAGTTTTTCTTCTTTTGCCTGCCCTTTCCATGTAAGAGATATCCCTAGGTGTCTGTCTTGACTCGCCTCCTACCATGCTCTGCTCCCCCTAGCTTTAACTTGTGCCTTTAGGATTCCAGAGAGTTCAGACTCAGTTTTCTACTGAATTCACATGCCGAGTGACAGCTTCAGGTTCAAGACCACTTCCTCCTGCTCCTTCTTCCCCGTCAGGTTTGATCCCAACATGGTTGGTGGCCTTATCTGCTCTCCCTGGTCATGACTTCCTAACCATTCTTGTACACACCATCTTCTTCTATCACTAAATTATTCATTGGGTAGCTGTGTTAGTCTGTATTCTGCTGTTCTAACAAAATACCCGAGACTGAGGACTTGATAAAGAAAATAGATTCATTTATCTC